GTTCTATACATATATATATATAGTTCTATATAAATATATATACATAATAGTTATATGATCACATATTATATATATATATCTTTGGCAGACACTTGTTCAAGCATAGTTTCTCCTGCAGATTCTAAACCGAGAGCCCGGCGCCACAGCACCCTTACGGAAGGGGGAGCCCAACCTGGGCCCGGCACCGCTCGTAGACTATGGGTTTGTCCGAACATGGGATCCCAAAATTGCTATTTCATGATTTCATGCAAAAAAAAATACAACATCAACATCGATCGAAGAAGCCCCTTTCCATCCAGTTCAACCACTAAATATACACCGTTTTCCCGGCCCTATCCCATCTCATGAAATACTTGTTGGTTGAGAAAAGTTTCCCAATCCTATGGATTACCCTCTGGTAAACTGACATAACTATGGAAAACCACAATTTTTGATGGGTAAATCAACTTCTATGGTCCATGTTCAAGTTCGCAAACTGTAAACGTTACCAGAGGGTAGTTCATAATCTCATTGGATTGGTTTTGTTGGGAAAATCTTCACCGGAAACCATGGATTTCCCCATTATTCATATGGGGCTTTCCGGTTAAAATTTTCCCTTCAACCAATCCATTGATAATCCTCATGAAACCATGTAGGATATTTTCGTAGAATCTACTTCATAACCAATCAACCATTTGGATGGCCGGGATTATCATTGGTGGCCACAAAGATATATATCCCAATGATAGTCCATTTACTGCCATTTACCAAGTAACTCCATGGCCCATCTAAGCAGGAAACATCATAATTTTCAGTTATACCAGTAATATCAAAAAATCTCCATGTTTGATGCTTACACCCCATGTAAATCTCTATTTCATATTTCATAACCATCATCTAAGCCATGGCGATTTTTTCCATCGCTTCACCGAGAGACTGTCCACTGGCCAGCAGCTTGCCATTCAACGACAGGTCGATGCTTGACACCTAAAAGAAACGACCGACAGGTCGAAACGACGCCTGGGACCGGCTTAAGGCATGCCATGGCGTTAAAGGCTTTAAGCCTTGAATGATACCCTCTGGTAAACTAACAGTTTGCTATTGAAAATGGTGATTTATAGTGGATTTTCCCATGAAAAATGGTGATTTTCAATAGCTATGTAAACGTTTACCAGAGGGTAGCAATCAAAACGCCCCAAAAAAAGACCCATGGCCATGGTAAACTGTTCAATAAGTCAATAGGTTTTTGTGTTTTTTAATGTTGTGAAATCATGATCGATTAAAATCATGCAAATCATTGGATAGCCCATGATACCAGACAACCAGGTCCATGGCAAAAAGTTTGGGGGCACCCCGCCACTGGCGAATCACCATGGCACAACGTTGCCAAATATATATATATATATAGCTATAATTAACTCTATATATATATATATAACTATAGCTATATATATATATATCTTTGATCAAACTTTGTGATATGGGTCTAGAACCTCGTCATGCCTCTGCATTCTGTCAAAAATATCTTCTTTAAAAACCAGCATGTTTTGATCAACGGGCCATTGAACAACAGGTTAAACGGTTAGACAATCAAATCAACTTTGAGGCTCCTGGGCTATCTTTCTGTGCTTGTTCATAATGGGTTAATGGGAGCCTCAGATTTTTTGGGTATATACCCCTGTGGTCGCCTGTAACAACCAGTTGGGCTTTCCAACCAGTTGGGGATGAACATCTGCCAGTCACAGTTTGGCAAACATGGCGATTCCAGCCAAATCAAGTTTGTCTGGGTGGTGGTATACCTACCCCTCTGAAAAAAATGATGGAGTGAAAGTCAGTTGGGATGATGACATTCCCAACTGAATGGAAAATCATAAAAGCCATGTTTAATATGAAAGTCAGTTGGGATGATGACATTCCC